TTCCGGATGCAAAATTAACACACCAAAAGTGCAACCAGAACGACCCGTTCTGGTTTCAGAACGGGCCGTTCTAGTTCCAGGCGTTTTCAAAAAATTGGCATCCACGTGACATCTACGTGGCATCCACCTATGCATCCACGTGGAATCCACATGGCATCCACCTATGCAACAATTAACTCCGTTAAAGAAATTTGGACGGAAGTCCCACATTGAAACTAATTAATTTATTAGGGACTAAATTGAAACAAATTAATTAGTTTGGGACCAAATTGAGACCAAAAATAAAAGTGAGACTACATTGAAACAAAAAAAGATTATAAAGGACCAAAATATGTATTTAGCTAATTAAATTTATATAATAAAGTATTAAATAATTTTTAAATTTTTTAAAAACTTGTAAACTTAGCATTAATAACTTTTAATTTAACAGATCATTAAAATTTGATCTACAACATAAATTATTAAATAAAATAAATTTAAATTTGTTTTTAAAATAAATAGATTATTAAAATATAAAAGTTTTATTCAGTCAATTAATTAGAAATTATGATTTATGTGATTTTTAAAGTAATTATCATAAATATCAATATCATTTAGAGTATAGTATGGTTGGATGACATATTGGAGCGTAAAATTGTTTTCTAGTGCTATTAAACTCTTATTTAAACACGTTAGAAAAGAGTAGTTTACTTTTCAATAACAGAAAACAGTGTAATTCACTATTAAAAATTGAACACAGGGGTAGTATTGTGATTTGAACTGCCAAATATGAGTGTCATTAGAAATCCATGAGCACGAGCAATAGCCGTGGGGCAGGGACAGGGAAAAGTAACTCTTTTTAATTTGTGGCGAGTAAGGTTTAGGAGGCAGAGAGCAAAGCACTACGGAAAAGACAAAGCCTTGTGGTCGGCAAGCTTGGGCCGTTAGTGGGCCCTACCATGGGCAGGGAGTCCACATTAGCAGACGCTCCTCTTCTCCAAAGATTCAAAGGGATAAAGCTAATAAAATAGGAAGTCATAACATAACCGATAAAGCAAACAAAGAAAGACAAAGGGAATGCCCCAAATAGATATGCTTTTTATTGAGGCATACGCCACCGCCCAGTGCCACCTTAATGGGTCCTAAACTTATTTCAATAATAAGGAACCGTCTAGAATTGCAACCCGTTGTTCTTTCTTGAGTAGTTTTCAAATTATATTATTTATTTAATATTCAGCGTGTGGATTATTTTATATTATTTGTCTTAGAGGATATTTTATAAGTCACCGAATTCAACCTTACAGTAATGAAATTATTTTATGGTATTTGTTTGAGGGGATTCTCACGATTTTGCTTTTGGTCATTACCCAAAAGGCCTTTCAATCATTGAAGTATATTTGTGTTTTATAAGTTGTTATTTTTTCTCTTATTTTATCGATGTGAGACTTGTTTGTATCCTAATATGAAGAGCATGATAAAAGTATAATATGAATATGTGATATTGTCATAAAATGAAAAAGAACCCAAGATGAGTTTTGAGAATTTGTTCCATATTTATTGCCCGTTGAGTAGAATGAAAATTTTTGGCGACTTCGATGCCATTATCAATATTAATCAGTGTCCGGTATTTTTAAATTTCTTTGTTATCAAGTTGGGTTTTTATGTATAAAAAAACAAATTCACATTCATAACTATATTAATGTTGCAATCTTCCATTATTTTGTGTTTATATCCATTATTATTGAAATTTGAAAATATCCCACTATGTTAGTTTCTTCTCTCATTGCTGGTGGTGGAGTACCTGTAAAAGAGATTTTAACACTCAAGTGAGAAGCAATCTCATAAGTAAAGAATGAATTATAGGTTAGAAGTGATAGGTAAGCCCTTTCATATAGATACTAGATGTTATCAATAAACAAGAATGTCTTTGATTTAAAAGAGTTGTAACAACAAGATAATGATATAATGAGATAAGGTAGTCGCTAAGTGACAAGTCCTTAGAACTACTCCTTTTATTTTTTGGGCCAATTAATCTTGTCTAACCTATATGCATATGGGCTTGGGTAGTACACTAGCCCCTTAATCTCAAAACTCAAGATTAGTAAAAGAGCTGAAAAGTCGATCATCAATGAAACAACTTGTTTAACTATTTGCATTTTGAATTTAATCATTTGTTTGAAGTTAGCGGAAATACACATAGAAGGGGGGTTTGAATGTGTGTGTTTGTGTTAGCTGGAAAATTTTAAAGTTATTTTTCTAGAGCAATTTTGGTTGAAAAACTTAAGTAGACTTTTCT